TAATTAATATTTTCAAAAATGGTTTTCTTCATTAAAAAGCTGACACTTTGTCATGTTACTTGTGATAATTTCACGGTGATATCTTAAGATTTCGCTTTTTCGCGATTTTTTAAAGCCAAATCATTAAATATAACGTTTCAATGTGGAAATAATCAGTTTAAAACTTAATATCTCAAAAACGAAATGATATTTTAAATCGTGGTTTTCTTCATTGAAAAGCTCACAGTTTTCTTTATAAGTGGTGATAATTTCATAACAATATCTTAAGAATTCGATTTTTTACGATTTTTTAAAGTTGATTAATACATATTTTTTATTACAAAAAGTGAATGTTGTTTAATCATGTTTATCTTAAGATCTAAGTAATATTTCCAAAAACGGTTTTTTCTATTAAAAAGTTCTTCTACAATTTCTGAAAATTTCATACTCATATCTTCAAAATTCGATTTTTTACGATTTTTTTTAATTCGATTTATTTGACATTACGTTAGACATCAGTTTGAACATTAATATCTCAGAAGCTAAAGGATATATTAAAACGCGGTTTTCTGCATTGAAAAGCTCATAGTTTTTTTTATAAGTGGTAATAATTTCATAACAATATCTTAAGAATTCCATTTTTCACGATTTTTTAAAATCGAATCATTAAATATAACGTTATGAAGCAATAGACATCAGTTTAATCATTAATATCTCAGAAACTAAAAGAGATATCAAAACGCGGTTTCTTCATTGAAAAGCTCATAGTTTTCTTTATAAGTGGTGATAATTTCATAACAATATCTTAAGAATTCGATTTTTCACGATTTTTTAAAATTGTATGATTACATATAACGGTATGAAGCGAAAAACGTCTGTTTAATCATTAATATCTCAAAAACTAAAAGATATATCAAAACGCGGTTTTATTCATTGAAAAGGTCATAGTTTGTTTTATAGGTGGTGATAATTTCATGACAATATCTTAAGAATTCGATTTTTCACGATTTTTTAAAATCGAATGATTAATTATATCGTTATGAAACGAAAGAGATCAATTTAATCATTAATATCTCAGAAACTAAAAGATATATTAAAACGCGGTTTATTTCATTGAAAAGCTCATAGTTTCCTTTATAAGTGGTGATAATTTTATAACAATATCTTAAGAACTCGATTTTTCACGATTTTTTAAAGTTGATTAATACAAATTTTTAATTGTAAAAAGTGATTGTTGTTTAACAATTTTTATCTTAAGAACTAAATAATATTTCCAAAAACGGGTTTCTTTACTAAAAAGCTCACATTTTCTTCTACTATTTCTGAAAATTTCATTATGATATCTTTAAAATTCGATTTTTCACGATTTTTTAAAATCGATTGATTAATCATAACATTACAAGGTGAAAATAAATCGATTAAAAATGTAATATCTCAAAAACCAAAAGATATTTTAAAACGCGGTTTTCTTCATTGAAAAGCTAATAATTTTCTTTATAAGTGGTGATAATTTCAAAATGATTCGTTAAAAATCCGATTTTTCACGATTTTTTAAACATGATTAATACAATTTTTATATTCTTTCTGTTTAAAATTTTTTATCTCAAGCCTTAATTAATATTTTCAAAAACGGTTATCATCATTAAAAAGCTGACACTTTATTGTATTATTACTAAAAATTTCATAACGATATCTTACAAATTCGATTTTTTGCGATTTTTTTTTAAACCTACGTTATATTAAAAAAAAATCATTTTAAAAGTTAATATCTCAAAAACGAAACGACATTTTTAACCGCGGCTTTTTTCATTAAAAAGCGCATAGTTTTCTTTATAAGTGGTGTTAATTTCGAAACGATTCGTTAAAAATCCGATTTTTCACGATTTTTTAAAGTTGATTAATACAAATTTTTTAATGCAAAAAATGCGATCTGTTTAAAAAATTTTATCTCAAAATGTAATTAATATTTTCAAAAACGGTTTTCATCATTAAAAAGCCAACACTTTATTCTATTATTGCTAGAAATTTCATAACTATATCTTGTAAATTCGATTTTTTGCGATTTTTTAAAATCGAACGAATAACATCATCTTACAATATAAAAAAAACATTTTAAAAGTTAATATCTCAAAAACTAAAAGATATTTTAAATCGCGGTTTTTTTCATTAAAAAGCGCATACTTTTCTTTATAAGTCGTGTTAATTTCGAAACGATTCGTTAAAAATCCGATTTTTCACGATTTTTTTAAAGTTTTTTTATTCTTTTTGTTTAAAAATTTTTATCTCAAAACCTAATTGATATTTTCAAAAACGCTTTTCATCATTAAAAAGGTGACACTTTATTCTATTATTGCTAAAAATTTCATAACGATATCTTAGAAATTCGATTTTTTGCGATTTTTTTTTAAACCTACGTTATATTAAAAAAAAAATCATTTTAATACTTAATATCTCAAAAACGAAACGATATATTTAACCGCGGTTTTTTTCATTAAAAAGCCCACACTTTTCTTTATAAGTTGTGTAAATTTCGAAATCATTTATTAAAAATTCGATTTTTTACGATTTTTTAAAGTTAACAAAACACATCATATCTTACACCCCTCCCAAATAAAATTAAAGGTTATCAACCCCTACCATCACAAAAAAAAAAAACAAAGAAAAAAAAATCGATTTTTTTTAATCATCCCCATCTCCATATCTAAACTAACTACAATAATTCCCTTTACAACCAAAACCCACCCCCTCGAACTCTCCACCGCCTCTCCACTCCTAAGAATCAATCGATTAAAACCCGTATCGTTCTAATTGTCAGTCTCTCAGAGGCGCGCGGAGGGGTTAGGGGGGGCGAACGAGGGATGTTCCGGCCTCCACCCCCTCGCAACCCCGTATATACCCTTATTTCTAGCGCGGTGTTCCCCCCCGTCAATAGAACCATAGAAATCGGCGTTTAGACGCGAAATATGGAATATCGGAAGGGTTAGAGATGCGATCGGAACCCCTTCTCGGTTTTCAAAGTGGGAGGGGGGGGGGGTGAAACACGGACGACGTCGGGTTTTAACCGACGGGGGATGAACGCGAATATAGATGGATATTGTAAAGAGAGGAACGGGGAAGGAGAAAATCTAATTTTATGTATCTCCCGGGATTTAGAGAAATAGAAATTAATTTATTAATTAATTTTTTTATATATATATAATTTTTATATATAAATATATATATATAAAAGTGACTTAATAAGAAATTTTTTTTTTAAAACGATATCAAGATACATTTTTAATATGATGTAGAATAGTAGGGAGATGTACGCACTGGATTTCGACTGGAGATCTCTCCGGGGGGGTCCCGAAGGGGAAAACGTCGGGAGGAGGGGGGGGGGGATTAGAGTAGAAGGGATGAATATTCGAAACCCCAGAAACCCTTTGGTCTCTTTATATATTTGAGTATAATTATTGATTATTGAGACGCGGAGCCGCCGGAGGAGACGTGACAGGAGTGATTAAGCTATACTCCGAACCCAACCCCCTTCACCCCCCCACACCAAATTTTCCATCCTTTTAAACCCAACTAAAAAAAATCTTACTTCATATTTACTTAGTGATTATTACTCATTCCTCACCTACTTTAATCAAAAATTTAATTTACAACGACGCCATTTTTATGTTTCCCCCCCCTTTCCCCATAATTCTTAATCTGTAAACGTTTCGAAAATCAAACAGATAATGACTTTATCATCTCTCGGTATTTTCTATTTTTTTTGCTTTCGAACGATTGTTATTTAGAAGCTGGGGGGAATAAGGGGGGATTGACGCCATTTTGTTTACTTAATTAACAATCTGAGACTACTCCAGATTGATAATGATAATAATAAGTATGTATTTGAGGAGATAGGGTCTCGATTATCAGTGTGTCGTTGAGATTTGATTCTGATACACTTAAGTGGCGATTAAAACGGAAAAAAGAAAATGGCGGACGACGAAATTGATTCGAAAAGTGATGGTAAAGACGATTTTGAAACTAAAAGCGTAAGTTTTTTTGTTGATTTAATTTGTTTTTGAAGTTTCGTCGAATTTTTATTAATAACTTTCTTTATTTGCGACCCCCATTGTTTCGTTTCTTATCAAAAAGCAATTAAATGGTTGTTTCGCTCCATTTTTTTTTATCAAAAAGTTGCACAATTTCATCTTGTAAAGATAAAATTAAAATTTATTTCATTAAAATCCCAAAAAAAACGTTTTTTTTTAATCTCAAGGTCACAAAATTAAATTTAATTAATTTTCGTTTACATATTCGTAATCTACGCGAAATCCCCTTTAATTTGATACCCAACAAGGCATACTTTGCTTTAAGAAAATATAAGGGTAGTTTATTCACCCATAAATCTAACTTTTTAACCTTAAAAGATAGCATAGTCGTGTGACCCCTCAAATTAACGCAAATTTTCTTCTCTTTTCAATGGAAGCATCAAAAATTAAATTAACCTAAAACTAAATCATTTTGATGTAATTTTTTGTTACAAATTTAATTTTTGTTATCATTTTCGTAATCTTCACGAAATTCCCTTTAATTTGATACCAAACAAGGCTTACTTTGCTTTTATGAATATCAAAGAAATAAAAATAGGGGTAGTTTTCTCACCCTTAATCTTACTTCTTAGCCGTAAAACAAAACATAGTTGTGTGACCCCTCAAATTAACGCAAATTTTCTTCTCTTTTCAATGGAAGCATCAAAAATTAAATTAACCTAAAAGAAAATCATTTCGATGTCACTTTTTGGTACAAATTTAATTTTTGTTATCATTTTCGTAATCTTCACAAAATTCCCTTTAATTTGATACCAAACAAGGCATACTTTGTTTCAAAAAAAGATAGGGGTAGTTTTCTCACCCCTAAATCTAACTTTTTAACCGTAATACATAACATAGTGGTGCGACCCCTCAAATTAACGGAAATTTTCTTCTCTTTCCAATGGAAGCATAAAAAAATTAAATTAGCCTAAAACAAAATCATTTCGATGTCAGTTTTTGTTACAGATTTCGCAACTCGTCGAAGAATTACAACGAAAAGAAGCTACGATAGCGAAACTACACGAGGGTTTCTCAAAAGTGCCGATTTTAGAGGAACAACTGGACCAAAAGAACCAATACATAGCCAAATTGGAGGCGAAATTGGAGAGTCAAAAAGATTACGAAGATATCAAAAAAGAATTGAGCATTCTTAGGCTTTCGACGCCGACGACGACGCCGTCGCTGGAAAATCAAAAACCGTTAAATTTGGATAACCTAAAATTGGAGCCGGTCATTACGAAAAGTCCCGAGCCTTCGTTACCGGAAGAGCGAAAATCCCCGAAAACAACGCCATTTCCCCCGCATTTTCAAAACGTTGAAACTTTCGGAACGTTACTCGGCGAAGAAATTGTTGCGAATTGGAAGCGAAGTATCGAAACTTTAAGCGGGAAAGCAGTTTTAAGTGAAACTGAGACAACCGAAAAAAGCACAGCTTCAACCCCGCAACCTCAAGAAATTATCCGACAAAATTCGCCGATTATTAACGGTCAAAATAACCCTAAAAGCCCGGAAGATAATAATAATTTAAGTCACAACAATAACAACAACAACATCCCAATTTTAACCTCAAACGTAACAGTTTTGGCAAACAATTTCTTAAAAACGGAAGATTTAAAAAGCCCATTTCGATTCGAAGACCACCAACCCCAACAACAACAACACCCACAACAACAACAAAGATCGTTTCGGTTTGCCGAAGACATGGGACTCCCGCCCGGTTCGATGGTCGGGCGTTTAGGTGAAAGTTTAATTCCAAAGGGCGATCCGATGGAAGCGAGGTTACAAGAAATGTTGAGGTTCAACATGGATAAATATGCGAGTCAAAATTTGGATACGTTGCATATCTCGAGGAAAGTTCGAGAGCTGCTTTCGATTCACAATATAGGTCAAAGACTGTTCGCCAAATACATTTTGGGGTTATCGCAGGGCACCGTTTCGGAATTACTCTCAAAACCGAAACCTTGGGATAAATTAACGGAAAAAGGGCGAGATAGTTATCGGAAAATGCACGCGTGGTCATGCGATGAAAATGCGGTGCTTTTATTGAAAAGTTTAATACCAAAGAAAGGTGAGTTTATCGAATATATTTAATACCCTTTTGTATGTTTGTTGCTTTATGATGTTATGTATATAACATAGTTATATATATGTTGTTGTGGTCGATTCGAGATTTCATCCGTTCTTCCTGTTCAAGATCTCACTTGGCATCTTCTTCTGCCGAATATTATTATGTAGTTTTTAAATCATATCATAATCTAGAATCTTTAAGCTTAAATTTAACATATATATCACATCATTATCTTCAAAAATACATACGATATGATTTTTTGAAAATTTCGTATTATCTTTGATTCAAAATTTTTACAATTTCTGCTTTAATAATCTTTAGCTGGAAATTTTATTAATATTATCATACAATTTTTATAGCAAGTCATAAACTAGAATCTTTAAGCTTTAATTTAACATATATATCATATCATTATTTTTAAAAGTACAGATGATATGATTTTTTGAAATTTTGATGTAATTTTATATTGGCAAATTTTACAGCATTTTCTTTAATCATTATTATCTGGAAATTTTATTAATGTCATCAATGAGTTTTTATATCATATCATGAACTACAATCTTCAAGCTTCAATTTAACATATATATCATATCATTACCTTTAAAAATACCGATCATATGATTTTTTGAAAAGTTTAATGTTTTATGTTCTTAAATTTGACAGTATCCCCTTTAACAATTTTTTTCTGGAAATTTTATTAATATTGTCATATCGTTTTTATATCATATCGTAAACTACAAATTTCAAGCTTCAATTTAACATATATATCATATCATTACCATTAAAAGTACAGATGATATGATTTTTTGAAAATTTGATATTTTATATTCGTAAATTTAAGTTTTTTTGTATAATATTTCTCTGTAAATTTTATTAATGTTATCATATAGTTTCTATATCATGTCATAAACTAGAATCTTTAAGCTTCAATTTAACATATAAATCATATCATTATTTTTTTAAATGCAGAAGATATATTTTTTTGAAAATTTTATATTTTTTATTTGTCAATTTGACAGTTTCCTTTTTAATATTTTTTTTCTAGAAATTTTATTAATATTATCATATTGTTTTTATATCATATCACAAACTAGAATCTTTAAGCTTCAATTTAACATATATATCATATAATTACCTTTATAAATATAGATGATATGATTTCTTGAAAATTTGATATTTCATATTTGCAAATTTGACAGTTTCCTCTTTAACAATTTTTTTCTGGAAATGTTATTAATATTATCATATTGTTTCTATATGATATCATAAATTAGAACCTATAAGCTTCAATTTAACATATATATCATATCATTACCTTTAAAAATACAGATGATACGATTTTTTGAAAATTTTTAATTTTTTATATTCGTAAATTTGACAGTTTCCGCTTTAACAATTTTTTTATGGAAATTTTATTAATATCAACGTATAATTTTTATATCACATCATAAACTACAATCTTCAAGCAACAATTTAACATATATATCATATCATTACCTTTAAAAATACAGATGATATGATTTTTTAAAAATTTGATATTTTATATTCGTAAATTTTACAGTTTTCTCTTTAATATTTTTTTTCTGGAAATTTTATTAATATCATCATATAATTTTTACATCATGTCATAAACTAAAATCTTTAAGCTTTAATTTAACAGATATATCATATCATTACTATTAAAAATACAGATGATATGATTTTTTTAAAAATAAGATGTTATTTTATATTTGCAAATTTGGCAGTATTTGCTTTAATATTATTTTTCTGGAAATTTTATTAATATCATCATATAATTTTTACATCATGTCATAAACTAGAATCTTTAAGCTTCAATTTAACAGAAAAATCATATCATTACTTTTAAAAATGCAGAAGATATATTTTTTTGAAAATTTGATATTTTAAATTCGTCAATTTGACAGTTTTTTTTTAATAATTTTTTTCTGAAAATTTTATTAATATTATCATATAGTTTTTATATCATATTATAAACTAGAATCTTTAAGCTTCAATTTAACATATATATCATATCATTACCTTTAAAAATACAGATGATATGATTTTTTGAAAATTTGATATTTTATATTCGTAAATTTGACAGTTTTTTCTTTAATATTTTTTTTGTCTGGAAATTTTATTAATATTATCATATAGTTTTTATATCATATCATAAACCAGAATTTTTAAGCTTCAATTTAACATATATATCATATCATTACTATTAAAAATACAGATGATATGATTTTTTTAAAAACAATATGTTATTTTATATTTGCAAATTTGACAGTTTTTTCTTTAATAATTTTTTTCTGGAAATTTTATTAATACTATCATATAGTTTTTATATCATATCATAAACTAGAATCTTTAAGCTTCAATTTAACATATATATCATATCATTACCTTTAAAAATACAGAAACTATGATTTTTTGAAATATAATATTTGTAAATTTTCCAGTTTCCTCTTTAATATTTTTTTTTTAAAATTTTATTAATATTATCATATAATTTCTATATCGCATCATAAAGTAGAATCTTTAAGCTTTAATTTAACATATATATCATATCATTACCTTTAAAAATACAGATAATATGATTTTTTGAAATTTGATATTTGTAAATTTTCCAGTTTCCTCTTTAATAATTTTTTTTTGAAAATTTTATTAATATTATCATATAGTTTCTATATCGCATCATAATGTAGAATCTTTAAGCTTCAATTTAACATAAAAATCATATCATTACTTTTAAAAATGCAGAAGATATATTTTTTTGAAAATTTGATATTTTATATTTGTCAATTTAACAGTTTCTTCTTTAATAATTTTTATCTGGAAATTTTATTAATATTATCATATAGTTTTTATATCATATCATAAACTAGAATCTTCAAGCTTCAATTTAACATATATATAATATCACTATCATTAGAAATACAGATGATACGATTTTTTTAAAAACAAGATGTTATTTTATATTTGCAAATTTGACAGTTTTTTCTTTAATAATTTTTTTTTGAAAAATTTATTAATACTATCATATAGTTTTTATATCATATCATAAACTAGAATCTTTAAGCTTCAATTTAACATATATATCATATCATTACCTTTAAAAATACAGATGATATGATTTTTTGAAGATTTGATATTTTATAGACGTAAATTTGACAGCTTCCTCTTTAATATTTTTTTTCTGGAAATTTTATTAATACTATCATATAATTTTTACATCATATCATAAACTAGAATTTTTAAGCTTTTATTTAACATATATATCATATCATTACTATTAAAAATATAGATGATATGATTTTTTAAAAACAAGATCTTATTTTATATTTGCAATTCTTTAATAATTTTTTTCTGGAAATTTTATTAATATCATCATATAATTTTTATATCACATCATAAACTAGAACCTTTAAGTTTCAATTTAACGTGTATATCATATTACTACCTTTAAAAATACAGATGATATGATTTTTTGAAAATTTAATATGTCATATTCGTAAATTTGACAGTTTCCTCTTTAATATTTTTTTTCTGTAAATTTTATTAATATTATCATATAATTTTTATATCATTTCATTAACTAGAATCTTTAAGCTTCAATTTAACATAAAAATCATATCATTACCTTTAAAAATACAGATGATATGATTTTTTGAAAATTTAATATTTTATATTCGTAAATTTAACAATGTCTTCTTTAAAACCTTTTTTCTTGAAATTTTATTAATATCATCATATAGTTTTTATACTATATCATAAACTACAATCTTTAAGCTTCAATTTAGCATATATATCATATTATTACCATTAAAAATACAGATTATACGATTTTTTTTAAAATAAGATGTTATTTTATATTTGCAAATTTGACAGTTTTTTCTTTAATAATTTTTTTCTGAAAATTTTATTAATATTATCATATAATTTTTACATCATATCATAAACTAGAATCTTTAAGCTTTAATTTAACATATATATCATATCATTACTTTTAAAAATATAGATGATATGATTTTTTTTTGAAAATTTGATATTTTAAATTCGTAAATTTTACAGTTTCTTCTTTAATAATTTTTTTTTGGAAATTTTATTAATATTATCATATAATTTCTATATCGTATCATAAACGAGAATCTTTAAGCTTCAATATAACATAAAAATCATATCATTACCTTTAAAAATGCAAATGATATATTTTTTTGAAAATTTAATATTTTATATTTTTGCAAATTTGACAGTTTCCTCTTTAACAATTTTTTCTGAAAATTTTATTAATGTCATCATATAATTTTTACATCATTTCATAAACTAGAATCTTTAAGCTTTAATTTAACATATATATCATATCATTATCATTAAAAATACAGATGATATAATTTTTTTAAAAATATGATATTATTTTATATTTGCAAATTTGAAGAACGGATGAAATCTTGGATTGATCACAACAATATATATAATATAATATATACAGGGTGTTTCAGGTTTTTGTAGCAGGACTTTAACACTCGATGGATCTTTTAAAATAAACTTCATATAAACACAAGTCGACTTTGTTTTGAAGATACAGGGTGTTTAATTTAAATTTTTAAATTGATTATTTAATTTAATATTACACGTGTATTTCAACCGATTCTATTCAAATTCGGTATGTAGAGGCTCTTTGTCATGACAAAGACGATTATGTCTTAATAATTAAAATAACCATAACTTTTTGGCTAAAAACGTACAAAGAATAAGAATCGAAACCTGAAACAGCCTGTATATATATATATATATATATATATTTTGAAATACGATTTTTTTTAAATTGTTAAAAATCCTAAAACAATTTTTTTTTTCAAATTGTCATTACAGATAATTTTTCAACAGGCAAAGAGATTGCATCTTACGGTGGTCGTCAAGAGACGGGTCCTCGCGAAGCCGATTTCAACGACGAAAGAATCGCTCACATCCTAAACGAAGCTTCGCAAATCCACGGCTCAAAACATAACCTCCAAACCACCGAAGACACGCACAGCAACGAAGACTCGAAATCGCCGCAAGGATGTTCGAGCCCCTTCTCGAAGGACTCGTCACAAAACCGAAAACTAAAAAAATACGAAAACGACGATATCTCCCAAGAGAAAGTCGCGCGAATTTACCAAGAAGAGATGGCCAAATTGATGGGGCGAAGAATCGAAGATTTTCGGACATCTCGCGATGCGATGTTTTTACCTCAAATTTTTGCTGGGGGACATCTTGAGCGTAGTCAGGAAGAGATGCGAGCTCTTTTGGATGCTTACCATCAATTGGCGAAGATGAATTCGTGCGGAAATCAAGGTGGGTTTGGAAATTTTGGGTTATTAGCGCTTCATCAGCAGGCGTTGGCGCAACAAAATGGGGGGGTCCAAGATTTATCATTACCAAAAGACAAAAAAATCAACGGAGATGACCAATCCAAAGAAGATAACAATACCAAAGACGATTCAAATTTACCCAATTCAAAAGTAGGAAGTGCTTTTAGTTTGGTTAAGCCAAAACTTGAAACATCTTCATCGACGACATCAAGTCCTTTGGGTAATACGATTTTACCACCGATAGGGGGAGGGGGTGATGTTGATTTTGGTACGGCAGCTTCGGCGAGTCCGCTTCAAAGAATGGCTTCGATTACGAATTCTTTAATCTCTCAACCTCCTTCGCAACCTCACCCCACCACGAATCAACGACCTTTAAAAGCGGTTCTTCCCCCGATTACTCAACAACAATTCGATATGTACAATAATCTTAACACTGAAGATATCGTGAAAAAAGTGAAAGAACAATTGAGTCAATACTCGATTTCTCAACGATTATTCGGCGAAAGTGTTTTAGGTTTAAGCCAAGGATCCGTTAGTGATTTATTAGCAAGACCTAAACCTTGGCATATGTTAACGCAAAAAGGTCGAGAACCTTTTATAAGAATGAAAATGTTTCTTGAAGATGATAACGCCGTTCATAAATTGGTGGCGAGCCAATATAAAATAGCCCCGGAGAAATTAATGCGGACCGGAGGTTATGGTGGAGCTTGTAACATCAAAGGTAATTTAAATCAAAATACTAAGATTCTCACGGACGCCACTGGAATTTTAACTCAACTCTCGAAAGACGTTCAAAACCCTCTTCTCCCGCCTAATTTTAATCATAACCTTACGAACCTCGCCCAAAATCAATTATCAAATTTAACATCGAATCAACTTTCGAATTTGAGTTCGAATCATTCGGCGACGCCGATGTTGTTGACCCCACCCGGGGTTCCCCCGCATCACGCGATTAGTTTGCAAAGTCAACAAGATCACCAACAGCAGCAGCATCAGATGAAAAAATCTTCGGTTAGTCCGCATTTGGGGATGGGACCAACTCCTGGGGGGGTTGTTCCAAATCAACAACAACAACAACCACATGGAGTTGCGATGAGGTCGTTACATCAACACATTTCGCCTAGTGTCTACGAGATGGCGGCGTTGACGCAAGATTTGGATACTCAAGTGATTACGACGAAAATTAAGGAGGCTTTGTTGGCGAATAATATTGGACAGAAGGTAAGGTTAATTTGAAAAAATCATATTTGCTGTATTTTTGGGAGTTGTGTTATGATATATATGTTAAATTGTAGCTTAAAGATTGTAGTTTATGATGTGATATAAAAACTATATGGTAATATTAATAAAATTTCGGGAAAAATAAAATTAAAGAAAAAACTGTCAAATTTGCGAATATAAAATATAAAATTTTTAAAGAATGATATCATCTGTATTTTTAATGGTAATGATATGATATATATGTTAAATTGAAGCTTGAAATTTGTAGTTTATGATATGATATAAAAACGATATGGTGATATTAATAAAATTTCGAGATAATGATTATTAAAGAAAATGCTGTAAAATTTGCAAATATAAAATTATATCAAAATTTCAAAAAATGATATGAACTGTACTTTTAAAGATAATGATATGATATATATGTTAAATTGAAGCTTAAAGATTCTAGTTTATGATGTGGTATGAAAACTATATGATGATATTCATAAAATTTTCAGAAAAAAATTATTGAAAGGAAACTGTCAAATTTACGAATATAAAATGGTCCAAAAAGCATATCATCTGTATTTTTAATGTTAATGATTTGATATATATTTTAAATTGAAGCTTGAAATTTGTAGTTTATGATATGATATAAAAACGATATGATGATATTAATAAAATTTCCAGATAATGATTATTAAAGAAAATGTTGTAAAATTTGCAAATATAAAATTACATCAAAATTTAAAAAAATCATATCATCTTTACTTTTAAAGATAATGATATGATATGTATGTTAAATTGAAGCTTAAAGATTGTAGTTTATGATATGATATAAAAATTATATGATGATATTAATAAAATTTCGAGAAAAAAATTATTAAAGAAGATGCTGTCAAATTTATGAATATAAAATGTTCTAAAAAGCATATCATCTGTATTTTTAATGTTAATGATTTGATATATATGTTAAATTGAAGCTTAAAGTTTGTAATTTATGATGTGATATAAAAACTATATGATGATATTAATAAAATTGCCAGATAATAATTATTAAAGAAAATGTTGTAAAATTTGCAAATATAAAATTACACCAAAATTTTAAAAAAATCATATCATCCGTATTTTTAATGGTAATGATATGATATATATGTTAAATTGTTGCTTTAAGATTGTAGTTTATGATATGATATAAAAATTATATGATGATATTAATAAAATTTCCAGAAAGAATTTATTGAAAGGAAACTATCAAATTTACGAATATAGAATGTTCAAAAAATCATATCATCTGTATTTTTAATGTTAATGATTTGATTTATATATTAAATTGAAGCTTGAAATTTATAGTTTATGGTATGATATAAAAACTATATGATGATATTAATAAAATTGCCAGATAATAATTATTAAAGAAAATGCTGTAAAATTTGCAAATATAAAATTACATCAAAATTTCAAAAAATCATATCATCTTTACTTTTAATAGTAATGATATGATGTATATGTTAAGTTGTTGCTTGAAGATTGTAGTTTATGATTTGATATAAAAACTATATGATAATATTAATAAAATTTCGAGATAATAATTATTAAAGAAAATGCTGTAAAATTTGCAAATATAAAGTTACATCAAAATTTCAAAAAATCATATCATCTTTACTTTTAATGGTAATGATATGATATATATGTTAAATTGTTGCTTGAAAATTGTAGTTTATGATATGATATAAAAATTATATAATAATATTAATAAAATTTCGAGAAAGAAATTATTAAAGAATATGCTGTCAAATTTACGAATATAAAATGTTCGAAAAAGCATATCATCTGTATTTTTAATGTTAATGATTTGATATATATGTTAAATTGAAGCTTAAAGTTTGTAATTTATGATATGATATAAAAACTATATGATGATTTTAATAAAATTGCCAGATAATAATTATTAAAAAAAATGCTGTAAAATTTGCAAATATAAAATTATATAAAAATTTCAAAAAATCATATCATCCATATTTTTAATGGTAATGATATGATATATATGTTAAATTGAAGCTTAAAAATTCTAGTTTATGACATGATATAAAAACTATATGATGATATTAATAAAATTTCCAGATAATGATTACTAAAGAAAATGCTGTAAAATTTACAAATATAAAATAATATCAAATTTCAAAAAATTATATTATCTGTATTTTTAATGATTATGATATGATATATATATTAAATTGAAGCTTAAAGACTCTAGTTTATGATGCGATATAAAAACTATATCATAATATTAATAAAATTTCCAGAAAAAAGATATTAAAGAAAACACTGCCAAATTTGCAAATTTAAAATGACTTAAAATTTTCAAAAAATCATATCGTCTCTACTTTTATTGGTAATGATATGATGTATATGTTAAATTAGAGCTTGAAAATTGTAGTTTATAATATGATATAAAAATTATACGATGATATTAATAAAATTTCCATAAAAAAAATGTTAAAGAGGAAACTGTCAAATTTACGAATATGAAATATTAAATTTTCAAAAAATCATATCATCTGTAATTTTAATGGTAATGATATGATATATATGTTAAATTGAAGCTTAAAAATTCTACTTTATGAAATGATATAAAAATTATATGATGATATTAATAAAATTTCCAGAAAAAAGATATTAAAGAAAACATTGCCAAATTTGCAAATATAAAATGACTTCAAATTTTCAAAAAATCATATCATCTGTATTTTTAAAGGTAATGATATGATATATATGTTAAATTGAAGCTTGAAGATTCTACTTTATGATATGATATAAAAACGATATGATAATATTAATAAAATTTCGAGAAAAAAATTGTTTAAGAGGAAATTGTCAAATTTACGAATATAAAATATTAAAAAATTTCAAAAAATCATATCGTCTGTATTGTTTAACGTAATGATATGATATATATGTTAAATTGAAGCTTAAAGATTCCAGTTTATGATATGATATAATAACTTTATGATAATATTAATAAAATTTTCAGATAAAAATTATTAAAGATGAAACTGTCAAATTTACGAATATGAAATATCAAATTTTCAAAAAATCATATCATCTGTATTTTTAAAGGTAATGACATGATATCTATGTTAAATTGAAGCTTATGAATTTTAGTTTATGACATGATATAATAAATATATGATAATATTAATAAAATTTCCAGATAAAAATGATTAAAGAGGAAACTGTAAAATTTATGAATATGACATCTTAAATTTTCAAAAAATCATATCATCTGTATTTTTAAAGGTAATGATATGATATATATGTTAAATTGGAGCTTGAAGATTGTAGTTTATGATATGATATAAAAACTATATAATGATATTAATAAAATTTCGAGATAATAATTATTAAAGAAAATGCTGTGAAATTGGCAAATATAAAATTACATCTAAATTTCAAAAAATCATATCATCTGTATTTTTAATGATAATGATATGATATATATGTTAAATTGGAGCTTGAAGATTGTAGTTTTTGATATGATATAAAAACTATATAATGATATTAATAAAATTTCGAGATAATAATTATTTAAGAAAATGCTGTGAAATTGGCAAATATAAAATTACATCAAAATTTCAAAAAATCATATCATCTGTATTTTTAATGGTAATGATATGATATATATGTTAAATTGAAGCTTGAAGATTGTAGTTTATGATATCATATAAAAACAATATGATGATATTAATAAAATTTCCAGAAAAAAATTATTAAAGAGGAAACTGTCAAAATTACGTATAGAAAATATCAAATTTTCAAAAAATTATATTATCTGTATTTTTGATGATAGTGATATGATATATATGTTAAATTGGAGCTCTAAGATTCTAGTTTATGATGCGATATAAAAACTATATCATAATATTAATAAAATTTCCAGAAAAAAATTATTAAAGGTTTACGAATATGAAGTATCAAATTTTCAAAAAATCATATCATCTGTATTTGGAGAGGTAGTGATATGATATATATTTTAAATGGCAGCTTAAAGATTGTAGTTTATGACATGATATAAAAACTATATCATAATATTAATAAAATTTCTAGAAAAAAATTATTAAAGGGGAAACTATCAAATTTACGAATATGAAATATCAAATTTTCAAAAAATCATATCATCTCTGTTTTTAAAGATAATGATATGATATATATGCTAAATTGAACCTTAAAGTTTCTGGTTTATGACATGATATAAAAAATATATGATAATATTAATAAAATTTCCAGAAAAAAATTGTTAAAGAGGAAACTGTCAAATTCACGAATATGAAATATCAAATTATCAAAAAATCATATCATGTATATTTTTAAAGGTTATGATATGATATATATGTCAAATTGAAGCTTAAAGATTTTAGTTTATGATATGATATAAAAACTATATGGTGATATTAATAAAATTTCCAGAAAAAAATTATTAAAGACGAAACTGTCAAATTAGCAAATATAAAATAACATCATATTTTTAAAAAAATCATATCATCTGTATTTCTAATGATAATAATATGATATATATGTTAATTTAAAGCTTGAAGTTTCTAGTTTATGATATGATATAAAAACTATATGATAATATTAATAAAATTTCCAGAAAAAAATTATTAAAGACAAAACTGTCAAATTTGCAAATATAAAATAACATCATATTTTAAAAAAAATCATATCATCTGTATTTTTAATGATAATAATATGATATATATGTTGAATTGAAGTTTAAAGATTCTAGTCTATGATATGATGTAAAAACTATATGATAATATTAATAAAATTCCCAGAAAAAAGAACCCAAACATATTTTATTTTTGATACGTATAAAAAAAATCTAATTTAATTTTTTATTTTTAGATTTTTGGTGAAGCCGTCCTCGGTTTATCTCAAGGCTCAGTCAGCGAACTCCTTTCAAAACCAAAACCTTGGCACATGTTGAGTATAAAAGGTCGCGAGCCGTTCATCAGAATGCAGCTTTGGCTAAACGATGCTCACAACGTTGATCGTTTGCAAGCTTTGAAAAACGAACGTCGCGAAGCGAACAAACGCCGAAGAAGTTCCGGCCCCGGAACGCACGACAACAGCTCCGACACTTCCAGTAATGACACCTCAGAGTATTACCATTCAAATTCACCAGGCCCCGGACCTCCAGTTCCGAAGAAACAACGAGTTTTATTCACCGAGTATCAAAAGATCGCTTTAAACGTAGCTTATGATTTAAAAAATTACCCGAATCAATCTGACACCGATTTTCTCGCGATGGAGTTAGGATTACCAGATCGAACCGTTAGCAATTGGTTTCATAATCATCGGATGCGATTAAAACCAAGCGGAAATACAATCGATCGAGAACAAAGTCAAAATCAACCCGGTTTGGATCCGACACGATTTCGATTATTATTAAATAAAAAAATGCTTGAATTAAGTCAAGAAAGAATCGGATTAGCTAATTTACCCATAGGTTATCCGTATTTAGCGTCAAATCCGAATATTGCAGCCGCTTTAATCAGTCGTGGATTACTTCCATCTGAATTAGATTTGAATTCGTTAAATAACGCGGTGAAAGAACAAATGTCCGGTTTAGATTTAACGATTTCTTCATCGGGGATTAAAAGGGAATCTCCGGATTTCGTTGAAGATGACGAAGAAATCATCAGCAACGCTTCCGAGGATTCAAATTTATCCGAAAACCATTTAAACTCAACTCAAAACAAAGAAAATTCGAATCGAACGTTGCCAAATCATCAAAACCCACATCAAAATCAACATCAAATTCACCATCATCACCACCACCACCAAAATAACCAAAGTCGATCGTCACGAAGAAAACCTGCAGCTCCACAATGGGTCAATCCAGATCAAAATCATCACCAAACGCACCATCAAAACGATGAAGTCATCATCAATGGGGTTTGCGTGATGCAAACTGATGATTTTTCGCGAAGAAATTCGTTAGAAACCGTTCGAATCGAACCCCAAGCTGTCGTTGATGGTTTTGACGTTGACGATCGAAGCGAAACATCCTCAGTGAGTCAAGAAAACGACCATCATCACAATCGCGATCACCGAGAAGGCGATCAAAGGCGATTAAGTGAAAGTTTAGCGGAGAAAAACGACGGGGATGATGTAAAAAATGAGAATGATGGTGTTGAAGGGGTCGTCGAGCGGGTTAAACAGGAACGGGACGACGAAGACGGTCACGAAGGGCTCGACGATAGTCGATGGGATTATTAATTGTGGGGGTTGAGAGATTTTCGGAAATGGTTAAAAATCGATTCAAAAAAATCATCAAAAATTTATTATTAACGTGGTTTTAGAAAAATGTCGAAAATAAATGACGAGATTTTAACGAATTAATCAAAAAATCGTAATCGCGCTAAAAAATGCTTTAAAACGATACCAAACACGACTATGTTATCTTTAAAAACAACCGAGATACAACGATTTATGTCAAAATTTAAAAAAAAACAAGCGACGATCGTTATTTTTAAATTAACGTAAATCGGTTGTTTTTAAAGTTAGCATAGTCGTGTTTGGGCTCATTTTAAAGGATTTTTAATTTTCTTTACGAATAACTCGGTTACAATGTTACCAATACAACCTGGTTATTAAAAACTAATTTTTAATCATTGGAAAGTTGTCTAAATCTATTTTAAGTTGCTAAAAATTTCTGGCAAGATGATTACAACATTGCAAAATTATTCATAACGTGGTTTTAGAAAAATGTCGCAAATAAATGACGAGATTTTAACGAATTAATTTAAAAATCGTAATCGCGCTAAAAAATGCTTTAAAACGATACCAAACACGACTATGTTATCTTTAAAAACAACCGAGATACAGCGATTTATGTCAAAATAAAAAAAAAACAAACGACGATCGTTATTTTTAAATTAACGTAAATCGGTTGTTTTTAAAGTTAGCATAGTCGTGTTTGGGCTCATTTTAAAGGATTTTTAATTTTCTGTACGAATAACTCGGTTACATTGTTACCAATACAATTTTCATTTCACCTGCTTATTAAAAACTAATTTTTAATCTTTGGAAAGTTGTCTAAATCTATTTTAAGTTGCTCAAAATTTCTGCAAAGCTAATTACAACATTGCTAAATTGTTCAAAATGATTGTAATTCGCTTGGTGATCATTTGAAGTTTGTCTAAATGATTAAAAACTGTTTCGTAACTATTCTAAGTTGTCCAAAATTTCTGCAAAGAGGTTAGGAAGTCATTGCAATTTTGCAAAATTGTTCAAAATGTTCAGAAACTTCTTGGAACTTATTGGAAGGTTGTCTAAATCATTAAAAATTGGTTCAATGCTATTTTAATTAGTTCAACATTTCTGCAAACTTTTTAGGAGTTGATTACAACTTTGCAAAATTATTTGAAATGATTCAAACCTTCTTGGTAATCTTAAGAAAGTTGTCTAAATCGTTAGAAACAACTTTCCTTCCTTTCTAAGTTGTTCAAAATTTCTGCAAAGCTGATTACAACCTTGCAAAATTATTCAAAATGGTTGCAATCTGCTTGATGATCATTAAAATTATGTCTAAACGATTAAAAATGACTTCGTTGCTATCCTAAGTTGTTCAAAATTTCTGCAAACCGATAAAGAAGTGATTACAAATTTGCAAAATTGTTCAAAATGATTCAACCCTTCTCGATAATCACTGGAAGCTTGTCTAAATGATTAGAAACAACTTTTCTGCCTATTTAAGTTGTTCAAAATTTCTGCAAAACAGTTGAAAGCTGATTGCAACATTGCAAAATAATTCAAAATGGTTGCAATCTGCTTGGTGATCATTAAAAGTGTGTCTAAACGGTTAAAAGTGACTTCGTTGCTATCCTAAGTTGTTCAAAATTTCTGCAAACCGGTAAAGAAGTGATTACAACTTTGCAAAATTGTTCAAAATGATTCAACCCTTCTTAATAATCACTGGAAGCTTGTCTAAATGATTAGAAACAACTTTTCTGCCTATTTAAGTTGTTCAAAATTTCTGCAAAACAGTTTAGAGCTGGTTGCAACATTGCAAAATTATTCAAAATGGTTGCAATCTGCTTGGTGATCATTAAAAGTGTGTCTAAAGGGTTAAAAATGGGTTCGTTGCTATCCTAAGTTCTTAAGGAGATGATTACAACTTTGCAAAATTGTTAAAAATGATTGTAAGGGTTATGGTAATCACTGAAATCATGTCAAAATGATTAAAAATGATTTCTCTGATGTTTTAGGTTGCCCAAAATGTATGTAAGTTGATTGGGAGTGGTTTTTGGCTTTGCTAAATTCTTAAAACCAGGTTTATTGCTTTTCTAAGTGGTTCAAAATTTCTGCAAATCGGTTAAGAGGTTTCAGAAGCTTGTCTAAATTATTAGAAACAAGTTTGTTGCTATTTTAAGTTGTTCAAAATTACTACAGAGTGGTTAGGGACAGATTACAACATTGCAAAATTGTTCAAAATGATTCAAAGCTTCATGGTAATCATTGGAAGCTTGTCTAAACGATCGAAAATTACTTTTTTGGCTCTACCAAGTCGTTTAAAATTATTTGCAAAATGATTACAACGTTGCAAAATTGCTCAAAATGATTACAAACTTCTTAGGAATCATTGAAAGGTTGTCTAAATGATTAAAAATTGGTTCATTGCTATTTTAAGTTGTTCAAAATTTCTGGAAAGCTTATTACAACATTGCAAAATTGTTCAAATTGATTATAAACTTCATGGAATTCGTAGAAAAGTTGTCTAAATGATTAAAAATTGGTTCATTGCTATTTTAGGTTGTTCAAAATTTCTGGAAAGCTTATTACAAGATTGCAAAATTGTTCTAAATTATTAGAACCTTCTTGGGAATCATTGGAAAGTTGTCTAAATGATTAAATATTGGTTCATTGCTATTTTAAGTTGTTCAAAATTTCTGGAAAGCTTATTACAAGATTGCAAAATTGTTCAAAATTATTAGAACCTTCTTGGGAATCATTGGAAAGTTGTCTAAATGATTAAAAATTGGTTCATTGCTATTTTAGGTTGTTCAAAATTTCTGCAATGCTTATTACAAGACTGCAAAATTGTTCTAAATTATTAGAATCTTCTTGGAAGTCATTGGAGAGTTGTCTAAATGGTTAAAAACTGTTTGTAGCTCAATAAATTTGTTTGAAACATGTTTTAAAATCACTAAATCAGTTTTAAATTGATTAAAAATTGTGCTCAAAAGATTTCTTCTCAAAAATGAAGCTATTTTTAACCATTTCTAATAAATAAAAGTGTTTCGAATAATAATTGAAGAAGAAGTAAAACGAAAAATAAAAAAATAATAATAATAAAAAGTGATTTTTGTTTTAAATTTAAAAAAAAAATAATAAGACTGTTACCGTTTAAGATATAACAAAAAAAGAATATTTTTTTTTAATACTAATTTTTAATTATTTAGTTGTAAAAGAAATCGTTACGTTTTTAATTTTTTAATAATTAAGTCGTAATTAATTTTTTATGTACGATATTTTTTTCGGTTACTGTACATTGTGATAAAAGAGAAACCGATTTTTTTTTTCTACCAAAATTAAATTGTTAATAATTTAAATTAAAGTAAATAACCAAGAAGAAAAAGTCGAAGTCTTCCGTCGAAGAGAACAAGATCGAAAAAAAGTTTTTTGTTTATGTACAAAGAGATACAGAGACGAAAAAAAGTTTTTTTCTTCGCCGGAGAAAAAAATTCTTTTTAATTATTAATCCGGTTAAAAAAAAAAGAATGATGAGGAATAAGTGTGAGGGAAAAAAAATTGAGGCATATCGTAATTTAAAAAAGAACGATTTATTATAAATAAAAGTCTTGTATTATTAATTAATTAATTAATTATTACCGAAGAAAAAAAAGATTAGATTAATAATAATAATTAATTAAAAATATAAATAAATAAGAATAAATTTGTAAATAGTTCAAAAAAAAAAGATGTTTTTAAAAATGCTCCTTAAAAAAACCGAAGAAAAAAAGTTAAATTGAAAATAGAAAGTTAAATAATAATGTTCTTTCCGTTTTTTTTGTATATACTGATATATATATTATATATAAACTATTGATAATTAATTATTAATTATTGTGTAATGATTAGAATTTAGAGTGAATGTTAAAAGAAGAAAAAAAAAACGATTTTTTTTGAATTTGTTTTTAATTTTTCGGATGAATGGTTATAAAATATGGTGATATAGCGGAATAACGATTAATTATTATTATTATTTTTAGTGCAATATCGACGTTTTTAATTCATTCTCTTTTCCGTTCCGACTTTCATAAAAAAAATATATATAAAAAATTTATTTATGTTAAATAATAATAAAAATTTGTTAAAACGAACGTCACAGTGAACAAAAAATACCAAAAAAAAAAAAGAACGAAAACAATAATAAACAGAAATACGTAAAACTTATTCGACAAATATTTAAGTGAAAAAGAAAGAAAATCCGTACTCGTTGATGAAACGAAAAAAAAATAAATAAATAAAGATTTAGAAAGAAAAGAAACGAAGAGGAGGAGATTTTCGAAAATATTAAATAAGAAAAATTATTATAGCGTCGCATAACCAAGTTTTTTTTTGTTAATTTTTAATGTATATATTTATATACCACCATATCATGGATACTTTGTGAAAATTTTTAAATTAAATTCCCTCTGTATTTAAAAAAATTGTTATTATTTAAATTATCCCAAAAAAATTATATATATATATACTTATATAAAAAAAAAATATATAAAGATATATAAAAAAATATACGTATAAAAAAAAATATATATATTATANAATGTATATATATAAAAAAATATATATATAAAACTATATAAAAAATATACGTATAAAAAAAAATATATATAAAAAAAATATATATATAAAAAAATGTATATATATAAAAAAATATATATATAAAACTATATAAAAAATATACGTATAAAAAAAAATATATATAAAAAAAATATATATATAAAAAAATGTATATATATAAAAAAATATATATATAAAACTATATAAAAAATATACGTATAAAAAAAAATATATATAAAAAAAATATATATATAAAAAAATGTATATATATAAAAAAATATATATATAAAACTATATAAAAAATATACGTATAAAAAAAAATATATATAAAAAAAATATATATATAAAAAAATGTATATATATAAAAAAATATATATATAAAACTATATAAAAAATATACGTATAAAAAAAAATATATATAAAAAAAATATATATATAAAAAAATGTATATATATAAAAAAATATATATATAAAACTATATAAAAAATATACGTATAAAAAAAAATATATATAAAAAAAATATATATATAAAAAAATGTATATATATAAAAAAATATATATATAAAACTATATAAAAAATATACGTATAAAAAAAAATATATATAAAAAAAATATATATATAAAAAAATGTATATATATAAAAAAATATATATATAAAACTATATAAAAAATATACGTATAAAAAAAAATATATATAAAAAAAATATATATATAAAAAAATGTATATATATAAAAAAATATATATATAAAACTATATAAAAAATATACGTATAAAAAAAAATATATATAAAAAAAATATATATATAAAAAAATGTATATATATAAAAAAATATATATATAAAACTATATAAAAAATATACGTATAAAAAATATATATATATAAAAAAAGTATATATATATAAAAAAATGTATACATATATAAAAAAATATATATAGAAAAAAATATATATATAAAAAAATTTATATAAAAAATATATAAAAAAAATAATATATATATATAAAAATATATAAAAAATATACGTATAAAAAAAAAATGGAATGCTATAGTTTTTATTACACTTTTCAATTATACGTAAAAAAATATGTTGACTTTGATAAAAGTTGTTGGTACCTAGCATTTTTTGTTTTCGAGTTATTTTGATTTTAAGATTTTTTTGACAAATTTCACCATGCTCTTTAAAACCCTATATCCCAGCCAACGATCATTCAAAAAAGCTCTGCATTGGCACGACTACTCTACAGATGCTGCCAAATAGATTGTCATTTGTTGTATCAGAGAATCTTATACAGGTAGGTCAAAAATTGAATTATCTTAATTGATAAAAAATTATAGTTTTCAATTATCTGTAACGGTTTTAATTTATAACCATTTTTGATGAAATTTGGTATATGCCCATTTCAAAACGCGCTTAATGCAGTGGTGTATTCAGATTCTTTTTAAAAAAAATTCCTAATATGATTTCTTCATTTTTAGCACCTAAAAAGTGAAATAGGCCTTGGTTTTTCTAAGAAAAATATGATTCTTTGTCCGAAGGTACAGTTTTTTATAGCCAACAATTCAAAAAAAAAATTTTCGAAATCGGATAGTAAATACAAATTTAAAAGAAATTTTAAAATAAAAGCGCCATCTATGACTCAAACCCGCAACCTAAACCTTTCAAGAACTCCCGAGAGATGGCGAAACTCTAAAAAAATAAACCGCAACAACTTCACGTCAGTTGTGATTGAGCCATCGTGGTGAAATGAGTAAAGCGTAGTTGTTTTTCCGTAACTGTTAATATTGTCAAAATGAGGTGGGCGGAAGAGGAAACCATAAAGTTCGTGAAGCTGTACCGCGACCATGAATGTTTATGGAACAAGACGAAGCCCAGCTACAAAAACAAGAACAACCGGCTGAAGGCGATCCATAACATAATGCATGTGATGGCGAAGGAAGGATTCGGAGTGACCGAAATTAAGCAGAAAATCAAAAACATTCGATCCACGTATTACCAGGAGGTGCAGAAAATCAAGAAAAGCGCTAAATCGGCTATGTCGCAGGATGATATTTATCAACCGAATGTGAAATGGTTCACTAATATGGATTATATTATGAGGCATTCTAAGAAACCGAGTGAAATACACAATAAGGTATGGTTGTTGTTTTAACTAAATTATTTGGAGCGAAATAATTATTTTTTGTGTGCTTAATCTATATTAAATTACCTTTAATTTGTTTCTTATTTCAACGTTATATCTCAATTAGTTTTTGAGATACGATTTTTTAAAAATCACTTCATCAAAATAAAATTAATCATGCATGGGTGAATTTAAAATTTTTTTCCAACTAAATGACTTGGATCGAAATAATTATTTTTTGTGTGCTTAATCTTTATTAAATTCTCTTTAATTTGCTTCTTATTTCAAGTTTATATCTTTATTAGTTTTTGAGATACGATTTTTTTAATATCCGCCATAATTAGATGTAGGAATTAATTAAAAAAATCATAACTTTAAAATGAATAGGATTAAAGAAATAATATTTATCACATTAATTATTAATTAAATCCCCTTTAATTTGCTTTTTATTTTAAGTTGATATCTCAATTCGTTTTTGAGATACGATTTTTTTAATTTCAATCTTTTAAAATTCTCCATAATTAGATGGAATTGATTTAAAAAATCGTAACTTCAAAACGTATAGGATTAGAAAAATAATATTTATCACATTAATTATTAATTAAATCCCCTTTAATTTGCTTCTTATTTTATGGCGATATCTCAAATCGTTTTTGAGATACGATTTTTTAAAAATCACTTAATCAAAATAATATTAATTAGGCAAAAAAATTATTCCAACTAAATCACTTGGAGCGAAATAATAATTTTTTGTGTGCTTAATCTTTATTAAATCCCCTTTAATTTGCTTCTTATTTTAAGTTGATATCTCAATTAGTTTTTGAGATACGATTTTTTTAATTTCATTCTTTCAAAATCCTCCATAATTAGATGGAATTGATTTAAAAAATCGTAACTTCAAAATGAATAGGATTAGAAAAATAATATTTATCTCATTAATTATTGATTAAATCCCCTTTAATTTGCTTCTTATTTTATGGCGATATCTCAAATCGTTTATGAGATACGATTTTTTAAAAATCACTTAATCAAAATAATATTAATTAGGCAAAAAAATTATTACAACTAAATCGCTTGGATCGAAATAATAATTTTTTGTGTGCTAAATCTTTATTAAATCCCCTTTAATTTGCTTTTTATTTTAAGTTGATATCTCAAATCGTTTTTGAGATACGATTTTTTAAAATCACTTCATTAAAATAAAATTAATTATGCAAGGATGAATTTAAAAAAATTTTCCAACTAAATGACTTGGATCGAAATGATTATTTTTTGTATCCTTAATCTTTATTAAATTCTCTTTAATTTGCTTCTTATTTCAAGTTTATATCTTAATTAGTTTTTGAGATATGATTTTTTAAAAATCACTTAATCAAAGTAACATGGATTATGCAAAAAAATTATTCCAACTAAATCGCTTGATTCGAAATAATAATTTTTTGTGTGCTTAATCTTTATTAAATCCCCTTTAATTTGCTTCTTATTTCAAATTGATATCTCAATTAGTTTTTGAGATACGATTTTTTTAATTTCATTCTTTTAAAATCCTCCTTAATTAGATGGAATTGATTTAAAAAATCGTAACTTCAAAATGAATAGGATTAGAAAAATGATATTTATAACATTAATTATTGATTAAATCCCCTTTAATTTACTTCTTATTTTATGGCGATATCTCAAATCGTTTATGAGATACGATTTTTTAAAAATCACTTCATCATAGTAATATTAATTATGCAAAAAAATTATTACAACTAAATCACTTGAATCGAAATAATAATTTTTTGTGTGCTTAATATTTATTAAATCCCCTTTAATTTGCATCTTATTTTATGGCGATACCTCTAATCGTTTTTGAGATACGATTTTTTAAAAATCACTTCATTAAAATAAAATTAATTATGCAAGGGTGAATTTACAAATTTTTTCCAACTAAATGACTTGGATCGAAATAATTATTTTTTGTGTGCTTAATCTTTATTAAATTCTCTTTAATTTACTTCTTGTTTTAAGTTTATATCTCAATTAGTTTTTGAGATACGATTTTTTTAAAAACCGCCATAATTAGATGTAGGAATTAATTCAAAAAATCATAACCTCAAAATGAATAGGATCAAAAAAGTAATATTTATCACATTAATTATTAATTAAATCCCCTTTAATTTGCTTCTTATTTTAAGTTGATATCTCAATTAGTTTTTGAGATACGATTTTTTTAATTTCATTCTTTTAAAATCCTCCTTAATTAGATGGAATTGATTTAAAAAATCGCAACTTCAAAATGAATAGAATTAGAAAAATAATATTTATTACATTAATTATTAATTAAATCCCCTTTAATTTGCTTCTTATTTTATGGTGATATCTCAAACCGTTTTTGAGATACGATTTTTTAAAAATCACTTAATCAAAGTAATATTAATTATGCAAAAAAAATTATTCCAACTAAATCCCTTGGATCGAAATAATAATTTTTTGTGTGCTTAATTTTTATTAAATCCCCTTTAATTTGCTTCTTATTTCAAATTGATATCTCAATTAGTTTTTGAGATACTATTTTTTTAATTTCATTCTTTTAAAATCCTCCATAATTAGATGGAATTCATTTTAAAAATCGTAACTTCAAAATAAATAGGATTTGAAAAATAATATTTATCGCATTAATTATTGATTAAATCCCCTTTAATTTGCTTCTTATTTTATGGCGATATCTCAAATCGTTATTGAGATACGATTTTTTAAAAATCACTTAATCAAAGTAACATGGATTATGCAAAAAAATTATTCCAACTAAATCGCTTGATTCGAAATAATAATTTTTTGTGTGCTTAATCATTATTAAATCCCCTTTAATTTGCTTCTTATTTTAAGTTGATATCTCAATTAGTTTTTGAGATACGATTTTTTTAATTTCACTCTTTTAAAATCTTCCATAATTAGATGGAATTGATTTAAAAAATCGTAACTTCAAAATAAATAGGATTAGAAAAATAATATTTATCGCATTAATTATTGATTAAATCCCCTTTAATTTGCTTCTTATTTTATGGCGATATCTCAAATCGTTTTTGAGATACGATTTTTTTAAAATCACTTAATCAACGTAATATTAATTATTCAAAAAAATTATTTCAACTAAATCGCTTGATTCGAAATAATAATTTTTTGTGTGCTTAATCTTTATTAAATCCCCTTTAATTTGCTTCTTATTTTAAGTTGATATCTCAATTAGTTTTTGAGATACGATTTTTTTAATTTCATTCTTTTAAAATCCTCCATAATTAGATGGAATTGATTTAAAAAATCGTAACTTCAAAATGAATAGGATTAGAAAAATGATATTTATCAAATTAATTATTAATTAAATCCCCTTTAATTTGCTTCTTATTTTATGGCGATATCTCAAATCGTTTATGAGATACGATTTTTTAAAAATCACTTAATCAAAATAATATTAATTAGGCAAAAAAATTATTACAACTAAATCGCTTGGATCGAAATAATAATTTTTTGTGTACTTAATCTTAATTAAATTCTCTTTAATTTGCTTCTTATTTCAATTTTATATCTCAATTAGTTTTTGAGATACAACCTTCTTTATAAACTAAAAATTTTAATTTTTGTATCTCCATCTATAATCGCGTAGCTGAACTAAATCTTAAATTAAAGTTGATATCTCACCCACTAGATGGCGCTTTTAATTAATTTATTTATTTTATTTTTTAACATTTTTTAGGTGATGCACAAACAATTACACAGGATGTGGGGAAACATAAATAAGCGCCCAAAAAGCATCTTAGCAAAACAACGCTCCCCTGGGATACAATTCGTCGACTACAAGGACTCAGAAGAAATCACTGATCCGCTCCTTGAAGACATGAAAGTGGAGACGTTTTCGCTCGAAATGAACGAAATGGACGCTGAGGAACCTCCATCACCGATTAGGCACGAAACGGATCACCACCACGAACAATTTAATGTTGACCAGGATGAAATAAGGGAAAAAACGCGGAGGGTCACTCTCCTTATTAATCAGGATGAGGAATTATTTAAGTGGCGCCTTCTAGAGGCCAAAGCGAAGGCGAGGGAAGCTGAATTAAAAGCTGAAATTGCTATGTTTGAGTTGCAGAATTTAAAAGATAAATAAATGGTTTGTTTTTAATTAAGAATTTTTTGTTTTATTTATTTTAGTTTAGTTTTCCTATTTTGCAAGAGATGGCGCTTATTTATTGATTAATTTTTTTTTTAATTTAATAAAATTGGAACGCCATCTTTTGGTCAAAATTTAAACTTTTATTTATTTATTTTTTTTAAATGATTAAATTAAAATTAAATGATTTTTTGATTTCGAGTTGGCCTTGACCTACTTAAAATTTAGGTCACGATTTTTCGAATTTGTATTGGCCTTGACCTACTTAAAATTTAGGTCAGCGATTTTTACGAAATTTTGACCTACTTTAAATGTAGGTCAATGATTTTTCAATTTCGAGTTGGCCTTGACCTATTTAAAATTTAGGTCACGATTTTTCGATTTTGTATTGGCCTTGACCCACTTTAAATTTAGGTCACCGATTTTTACGAAATTTTGACCTACTTAAAATGTAGGTCAATGATTTTTCAATTTCGAGTTGGCCTTGACCTACTTAAAATTTAGGTCACGATTTTTCGAATTCGTATTAGCCTTGACCTACTTAAAATTTAGGTCACCGATTTTTCAAAATCCCAATAACCTTGACCCACTTAAAATTTAGGTCACCGATTTTTACGAAAATTTGACCTACTTAGAATGTAGGTCACCGATTTTTCGAAAATCAAATAACCTTGACCCATTTAAAATTTAGGTCACGACGTTCGAAATCCCATTGACCTTGACCGATTTAAAAAGTAGGTCAAAATTTGGATAGGATTTTAAATTTCCTTTAATTTGATACCAAACACGACATATTTATATTAAAAAATGTAGAAGTTATCGCAAAAAAACGAATGGTAATAACCGCCATCTTTGATAATAATTAATTTTTAAAACGTGGATATCTCGAGAACTAAACAAGATAGAATAGTCGAGTTTGGACTCATTTTGAAGGAAATTTAATTCTACGTCGATTAAAATACATTTTAACCTCATTTGGGATAAAAAAAAAATTTTTTTTTTAATAATTAATTAAAATAAAATGAAGCGCCATCTTTTGACGTATTTCCGAACTAAAATTTGTATGTAGAAATTTAATTTATCGGACCCCTCTACTATTTAATTGGGTTTTTGCCCAATAGATGGCGCTTAAATTAATTTTTTTTTTATATATAAAATTAAGTTTTTTTTTGTTGGATTTGGATTAGAATGAAAATAACTTGGGGTGCTATCAATATTGTTTATTTATCGTTCGTTAAATAGTACGTTTTGTTTCTGGGACACTTTTATTCGTTGATTTAATGCAATCTTCGTCCGCATTAATTATTTACAAATTGACTAAAGTTTAAAACGAGTTTACATCATCATCCCTATAATTAATTAATTAATTATTATTAATTTTTATTTGTTAATTTTTTGAAGGAGTAAAGATTAATGACTAATATACATTATTTTAAATGCTTCATATTTACACCTCGCTCTCTCCCTTTCTCTCCGTGTTTTTTTCTTTTTTTAAATTTATTATCAATCATTAATTTATTATTAATTTACTCAGTACGAAAAATTATCACAGCTTTTATGTAGTAATTAATTAATTAACAAGTTTAAAGAAAAGATTTGAGGATTTAAATAAAAATGAAGGTTGTGAAACTTTGAGAACGAAAAAATAACATTTATTCGAAAAAAAATAATAATAATAAATCAACAAGGTGAGGTTAAGAGGAAAGTTAAAGCCAAAAAGAAAATTTTTTCGATATGTTTTTTTTTTTTTAAGATTAAAAATAAATATTGCTTCTTTTTTTTTAGGTAAGGAAAAGAAAGGTAATAATTTAAAGGTAATAATGATTCGAAAAACTTAAAATCTAACTTTATACAAACACTTTTAACCTTTAATTTTTCAACGTTAAATTTAAATCTAAATAAATTATTACTTTTTTTATTTCTTCTTTAAAGATAATAATTAATAATAACTAAATTTAATTAAAAACGATTAATAATAAACGTCTTCTTTTTTTAACTTTACAACAATAAAGACAGAGGAAAAAAAAACCAGGTACGATCCTAAAAAAAAAAACTTAACCTAAAATTATTATCAAAAAAAAAAAATCTTATTCATTTTTTTTTTTTTTTTTTCATTCTAATCATTTTTTTTACCGCAGTCTTTTTTATCTCGAGTTTCATTCATTTTACTTTATTATCACACAAAAAAATTATTACCCCCGAAAATCAAACAAAAAAAAAAATAATAATAATAATAATAAAAAAATAAAAACTTACCGTCGCGCGTCAAAGTTTTTAATTAATCAATTAATTTATTTTTTTTTTATTATTTATTATCTTTTAAACCTAATATACCGTGTTCCATCAGATTTGACGTATTCGGTTGGTAATTTTTGATTTGATGTAACGAAATGAAATTCGGAAAACCGTTCGCCGGCTGCGATTTTTGTAAATCCTGGAGATTCTGTTTTTGAAAACTTAACGGATCGTAAATGTACGGTCGGTTCGGGGCTAATTGATGATGATGATTTAGATTTAAATGGCCCCCCATCGCGTTTATCGGCGTAAACGCGGAACTTTTCGCCAGCGAGTCGTAATTATTCGTGTTTAAGTTGGTGGCGTTCGGCGTCGACGGTGGCGCCGGTGGTTGATTTTGCAATTGTTGCCTTATTATAACCAAATCTTCGTTATTATCTAATAAATTCCTTGAACCACCTAATCCGGCTCCTCCTCCGCCACCCCCACCTGGAGGCCCCCCCAAATCTCCGGGGGGATAATCCCCGTGTAAATTCTCGGCGCTATCCGGAGAGATTTTCGGCCAATACGGATGATTTAACCCGCCAACTAACCCCGTTATCGGGGGTCTCTTATCGGTTCGCTCCGAATGTTTCTGCATGTGCTTGCTTAGGTACGTTTCTTGCGTGTAACTCTTCCCGCAATACTGACAAATGTGCGTTTTTAGGTGCTTACTTTCCTTGTGCTTGGGGATGTGCTCCAATAAACTCGGCTCATCACTAAAACATTTATAGCAACTATTGCATTTGTACGGTTTGTCCGTTTGGTGACATCTCGAGTGACTTTGAAGGTTGCTCAGTTGACTGAACGCTTTCTGACAACCAGGATGTCGACACCTAAACAAAAAAGCAAAAATTACAATCTCAAATACCAAAATTATTAGCGATATCACAATTTCAACATGGCAATTTATCATTATTTCCGGCATAAATCGATAGGATTTTAAATTTCCTTTAATTTGATACCAAACTCGATGGGGCTATCTCGTTTAGTTATCGAGATATTCAAATTTTAAAATTTGATTATTATCCAAGATGGCGGATTATTACCTCGAGAACTAAACTAGATACAATAGTCGAGTTTGGACTCATTTTGTAGGAAATTCAATTCTACGTCGATTAAAACTAATTTTATCCCAACCTAAGTTTTTATTATTTTTTATTATCTTTTTAAAAAAAACCTAAAATAAAAAAAATTGTTTTTTTCAATCAAAAACGAAAATGATTTTCATTTAAAATCGAAAATTAAACATTTTTAATTAAAATCACGCAATTAATTATTATTATCACCTTTCTACTTCATGATTTATTACCAAATTTATTATAAATCGATAGGATTTCAAATTTCCTTTAATTTGATACCAAACTCGATGGGGGTATCTCGTTTAGTTATCGAGATATTCAAATTTTAAAATTTGATTATTATCCAAGATGGCGGATTATTACCTCGAAAACTAAACTAGATAAAATAGTCGAGTTTGGACTCATTTTGAAGGAAATTAAATTCTACGTCGATTAAAACTAATTTTATCCCAACCTAAGTTTTTATTATTTTTTATTATCTTTTTTAAAAAACACCTAAAATAAAAAAAATTGTTTTCTCAATCAAAAACGAGAATGATTTTCATTTAAAATCGAAAATTAAACATTTTTAATTAAAATCACGCAATTAATTATTATTATTACCTTTCTATTTCATGATTTATTACCAAATTTGTTAAAAATCAATGGGATTTTAAATTTCTTTTAATTTGATACCAAACACGATAAACATATAAGTTATTGCAAAAAAAGTAATAATCCGCCATCTTTGATAATAACCAAATTTTAAAAAACGGATATCTTGAGAAGTAAACAAGATAAAATAGTCGAGTTTGGACTCATTTTGAAGGAAATTAAATTCTACGTCGATTAAAACTAATTTTATCCCAACCTAAGTTTATATTATTTTTTATTATCTTTTCTAAAAAAAAGTAAAATAAAAAAAATTGTTTTTTCCAATCAAAAACGAAAATGATTTTTATTTAAAATCGAAAATTAAACATTTTTAATAAAAATCACGTAATTAATTATTATTATCACCTTTCTACTTCATGATTTATTACCAAATTTATTATAAATCGATAGGATTTTAAATTTCCTTTAATTTGATACCAAACTCGATGGGGCTATCTCGTTTAGTTATCGAGATATTCAAATTTTAAAATTTGATTATTATCCAAGATGGCGGATTATTACCTCTAGAACTAAACTAGATACAATAGTCGAGTTTGGACTCATTTTGAAGGAAATTAAATTCTACGTCGATTAAAACTAATTTTATCCCAACCTAAGTTTTTATTATTTTTTATTATCTTTTTTAAAAAAACCTAGAATAAAAAAAATTGTTTTTTTCAATCAAAAATCGAAAATGATTTTTATTTAAAATCGAAAATTAAACATTTTTAATTAAAATTACGTAATTAATTATTATTATTACCTTTCTATTTCATGATTTATTACCAAATTTGTTACAAATCGATGGGATTTTAAATTTCTTTTAATTTGATACCAAACACGACCAATTTTTATTAAAAAATGTAAAAGTTATCGCAAAAAAGCTAATGGTAATAATCCGCCATCTTTGATAATATCAATTTTTAAATATCGAATATCTCGCGAACTAAAAAAGATAAAATAGTCGAGTTTGGATTCATTTTGAAGGAAATTAAATTCTACGTCGATTAAAACTAATTTTATCCCAACCTAAGTTTTTATTATTTATTATCTTTTTTAAAAAAAACTAAAATAAAAAAAATTGTTTTTTTCAATCAAAAACGAAAATGATTTTCATTTAAAATCGAAAATTAAACATTTTTAATTAAAATCACGCAATTAATTATTATTATCACCTTTCTACTACATCATTTATTACCAAATTTATTATAAATCGATAGGATTTTAAATTTCCTTTAATTTGATACCAAACTCGATTGGGCTATCTCGTTTAGTTATCGAGATAATCAAATTTTAAAATTTGATTATTATCCAAGATGGCGGATTATTACCTCGAAAACTAAACTAGATAAAATAGTCGAGTTTGGACTAATTTTGAAGGAAATTAAATTCTACGTCGATTAAAACTAATTTTATCCCAACCTAAGTTTTTATTATTTTTTATTATCTTTTTTAAAAAAACTTAAAATAAAAAAAATTGTTTTTTTCAATCAAAAATCGAAAATGATTTTTATTTAAAATCGAAAATTAAACATTTTTAATTAAAATTACGTAATTAATTATTATTATTACCTTTCTATTTCATGATTTATTACCAAATTTGTTACAAATCGATGGGATTTTAAATTTCTTTTAATTTGATACCAAACACGACCAATTTTTATTAAAAAATGTAAAAGTTATCGCAAAAAAGCTAATGGTAATAATCCGCCATCTTTGATAATATCAATTTTTAAATATCGAATATCTCGCGAACTAAAAAAGATAAAATAGTCGAGTTTGGATTCATTTTGAAGGAAATTAAATTCTACGTCGATTAAAACTAATTTTATCCCAACCTAAGTTTTTATTATTTATTATCTTTTTTAAAAAAAACTAAAATAAAAAAAATTGTTTTTTTCAATCAAAAACGAAAATGATTTTCATTTAAAATCGAAAATTAAACATTTTTAATTAAAATCACGCAATTAATTATTATTATCACCTTTCTACTACATCATTTATTACCAAATTTATTATAAATCGATAGGATTTTAAATTTCCTTTAATTTGATACCAAACTCGATTGGGCTATCTCGTTTAGTTATCGAGATAATCAAATTTTAAAATTTGATTATTATCCAAGATGGCGGATTATTACCTCGAAAACTAAACTAGATAAAATAGTCGAGTTTGGACTCATTTTGAAGGAAATTAAATTCTACGTCGATTAAAACTAATTTTATCCCAACCTAAGTTTTTATTATTTTTTATTATCTTTTTTAAAAAAACTTAAAATAAAAAAAATTGTTTTTTTCAATCAAAAACGAAAATGATTTTCATTTAAAATCGAAAATTAAACATTTTTAATTAAAATCACGTAATTAATTATTATTATTACCTTTCTACTACATGATTTATTACCAAATTTATTATAAATCGATAGGATTTTAAATTTCCTTTAATTTGATACCAAACACGACACATTTATATTAAAAAATGTAAAAGTTATCGCAAAAAAACTAATGGTAATAATCCGCCATCTTTGATAATAATCAAATTTTAAAAAGCGGATATCTCGAGAACTAAACAAGATAACATAGTCGAGTTTGGACTCATTTTGAAGGAAATTAAATTCTACGTCGATTAAAACTAATTTCATTCAAACCTAAGTTTTTATTATTTTTTATTATCTTTTTTTAAAAAAACCTAAATTAAAAAAAAAATTGTTTTTTTCAATCAGAAAATCGAAAATTAAAAATTTTTAATAGAAATTACGTAATTAATTATTATTATTACCTTTCTACTTCATGATTTATTACCAAATTTGTTACAAATCGATGGGATTTTAAATTTCTTTTAATTTGATACCAAACACGATATATTTATATTGAAAAATATAAAAGTTATTGCAAAAAAAGTAATAATCCGCCATCTTTGATAATAACCAAATTTTAAAAAACGGATATCTCGAGGAACTAAACAAGATAAAATAGTCGAGTTTGAACTCATTTTGAAGGAAATTCAATTCTACATCGATTAAAATAAATAAGTTAATAACCCAACCTAAGTTTTTATTATTTTTTATTATCTTTTTTAAAATAATCCAAAATTTAAAAAAAATGTTTTTTTTATTCAAAAACGAAATTGATTTTCATTTAAAATCTTTTAAATCAAATATCGTAATGAATTATTATTATTACCTTTTTACTTCATTATTTATTACCAAATTTATCACAGATTACTAGGATTTTAAATTTCCTTTAATTTGATACCAAATACGACACATTTATATTGAAAAACATAAAAGTTGTTGCGAGAAAAGTAATGATAATAATCCGCCATCTTTGATAATAATCAAATTTTAAGAAGCGGATATCTCGAGAACTAAACAAGATAGAATAGTCGAGTTTGGGCTGATTTTGAAGGAAATTAAATTCTACATCGATTAAAATAAGTTTTATCCCAACCTAAGTTTTTATTATCTTTTTACAAAAACACAAAAAAAAACAAAATCTGCATAAAATTCCCTTTAATTTGATACCAAACACGCCATATTTCGAATAAAAATTCTCTTAGAACCACCCAAAATCGTCTTAAAGAGTAAACATAACCTCAACAAAACTTTAATCTTTAATATCTCGAGTTCTATAACAGATAATTTCGTCGGGTTTGAAGTTATTTCAAATAAAATTTGATTCTTTATCAGAATCCGTTTATATAAATAAGATAGCATTAAATTTAAAAAAAAAATTAATTTTCAATATTACAAAAAAAAATTTTTCTTAATCTACACTAAATTTGCTTTAATTTGACACCAAACTCGACATAATTATATTAAAAAACGTAAGAATTATCACAAAAAAAAGAATGGTAATAATCCGCCATCTTTGATAATAATGAAATCTAAAAAATTGAATATCTCAGTAACTAAGCGAGATAACCCCATCGAGTTTGGGTTCATTTTAAAGGAAATTTAATTTCCTATCGATTAAAAATAATCATATTATATTTTAATCAACTTACTTGTACGGTTTGTCTCCCGTATGAGTCCTGATGTGTTGTTGTAGGTGTGAGAGTTGAGTAAATTTCCTCTGACAAATTTCGCACCTATACGGTTTGATTCCGAGATGAATCCGCGTGTGCTGCGACAAATAGGAACTATTTGCGAACGCCTTACAACACTGCGAGCATTTGTACGGTTTCGCCTCTCGCATGTGAGCCTGCGTGTGCAATTGAAGTTCGGCTTTCGAACCGAAAACCTAAAAATAAAAATTTTATTATAAAAAAAATTAATTTTTGATTTATAATTTAGATTCTACGTTAAATTTCCTTCAATTTGACACCAAACACGACCCATTTTCGTTAAAAAACATCAAAGTTATAATAATTTTAAAATACGCCATCTTTAATTAAAAAACAATCGAACGACGAGATTAAAAATTATTGAAAAAACGGATATCTCGAGAACGGGTTGTCGTAAATGTATCGAGTTTGGACTCGTTTTAAAGGAAATTTAATTTTATTTCGTGTTTTGAGTGGTTTTTGTGATTTTTTGGTTAAAATTTTTTTTTTTATTTTTTTTTTTTGTGTAATTAGTTTTTTTTTTTGGTGCGGCCCGGAAGTTAGAGATTAAGAGTCGGATTTCGTCAAAATAAACGACCTTCGACGGCTGCCGCGCCACCTACCGCCGCACGCCGCGCGCACACCGACGTCGAGGAGGTGCAGCTCGCTCGTTTACAATTTTCGACCTTCGCGGCCCGTCCAAGTCGTCAAACTCGTTTCCTGAACGAAAGAGAAAGGCCTCAGTGGAGAGAACGCGATAGAAACGCGTTAGAAAAAAAAAGAACGGTGGTTATAATACGAAAAAAAAAATCTAAGACACCCAAATGAAAAGAAAAAGAAATATAATAACTTTTAGAACCCCAAAAATCATTTTTGTAATAAGGGATGTTTGAGGGATTTATAAAAAAAGTTATACAGAAATTTATTTTATTTTTTTTTTTAGTGAATGGTAATTTGATTTTTTTAAGCGTTATTATTAGAGTCGAGTCATACAAGGCCATGGTTTTCTGCGTGACCATGACTTTTGCTGTTTAGAGAGAACTTAGAAGTCGAAGTCGTCGTCTATATCTAAGGCGGCCGTAATCGCGATATTTCACTCCTCACTTTTTTTTTTTTTTTTTTTTTTAATTTTTCGTTTATTATTATTAAGTCAAATTTTTTTTTAATCGAATTAATATTAATCTTGATTGATCGTATAGAGAATTAAATTCCCTTTAAAATGAGTACAAACACGACGGGGTTATCTCAAAAAACAAGCGAGTTATCCAAGATTGAATTTATTTGAGGTTATGTTTGAAATTTTTGATTTTTACCGAAACCATGCCGTGTTTGGTATCAAATTAACCGGAATTTAATGGAGAATTCGAAAATGTCGATTAAAAAAGTAATCGATTTTTTACGTTGAGGTTATGTTACATTAATTCCGATTTTTTAACAAAATATGGGTTGTTTGGTATCAAATTAAAGGGGATTTAGCGTAGATTAAGGATATTTATTTAATTTTGCGATTTTTTAATTTTTATTTTTTACACATCGATAAAGAAGGAATTTCTTTCGATTAAATTCTTTCTTTTTTTTTTTTTAGGTGATATTACAAACCGGGGAATGTTTGACGTGATTCATACAAGAAATCGTAATCGAAATTTGGTTCGAATTAAAATAAAACTAATTTCCGGATTAAAAACAATTCGATTTTCGTCCTAAATAAGATGCGAAACAACACACTAAAAAAAAAAAACGATAAATTCGACATAAAAAAAAACGATAACCCGTTTTATAAGAATTATCATCATCTTGGCGAATTATAAAAATTAATCTAAACCCTGCCCGAAATTAACGGAAATTATCTCCTGTAATTTTTATCAAGCGACACGTGGTTATCTAATCATTCGAAAAAACGTTGATAACAAAAAAATTGTTAAAACGAAATCTGACTCCCTCGACGTGTTTCCCTCTCTCTCGCACTCGCGGTGTTGTTATTGTTTAAAGGGACACACCTACTTTGTGAATAAAAAAATTATTTAAAAAAAAGAATAAAAAAACGATGCTTAAAAAAAAACGCAAGACTTTTTTTTTAAACCGAGTTCAGTTTACGTTGAAACACTGCCAAAGAATTTTTTACTCAGCTTTTTTTAGAATCCCCACAAAAAAAAACTTCTTGCTTTCTTTCTTTTTCTATTAATTTACTTTTTTTAGATTCATTCATCCAATAATTTTTTTTATTTGCTATTTTAACGTAAATTTTTGAATTAATTTTATTATTCGGCGAGAATCTACGCGAAATTCCCTTTAATTTGATACCAAACACGCCATATTTACGATTAAAATTACAATTTTTAATTAATTAATTGAACATAACCTCAACGAAACTTCAACGTTAAATATTTCGAGTTATACGAAAGATAATTTAGTAATTTTTGGAGGATTTTATTTGAAATTAAATTCTCTATAAAAATGTGGTTTAAAAATGTTAATTAAAAAAATTTGTTTTTTATTAAAAAAAAAAAAAAAGAAATTTATTAAGATTTTCTTAATCTACATAAAATTCCCTTTAATTTGATACCAAACACGCCATATTTCGAGCAAAAACTCGCTTTGAACCACCCAAAATCGTCTTAAAGAGCAAACATAACCTCAACGAAACTTTAATCTGTAATATCTCGAGTTGTATAAAAGATAATTAGATACTGTTTGAAGATTTTTCAAATAAAATTTGATCCTTTATCAGAATCCATTTATATAAATAAGATAGATTTAAATTTAAAAAAATCTAAATTTCAAAATTACAAAATAATTTTCTTAATCTACATAAAATTCCGATTAATTTGATACCAAACACGCCATATTTCGAGTAAAAACTCGCTTAAATCGACCCAAAATCATCTAATAGAAAACATAACCTCAATAAAACTTTAATCTGTAATATCTCGGGTTCTATAAAAGATAACCCCATCGAGTTTGAGTTTATTTCAAATAAAATTTGATTCTCTATCCGATTTTCTTTGTATAAATGATATAGAATTAAATTTTAAATTATCTTAATTCCTCAAAATTAAACAAAAAATTTTTTAGCAACATTTTCTTAATCTGCATAAAATTCCCTTTAATTTGATACCAAACACGTCATATTTCGAGTAAAAACTCGCTTAAATCGACCAAAAATCATCTAATAGTAAACATAACCTCAACGAAACTTTAATCTTTAATATCTCGGGTTCTATAAAAGATAACTCCATCGTGTTTGAAGTTATTTTAAATAAAATTTGATTCTCTATCCGATTCGATTGAAATAAATGATATCGTATTGAATTTTAAATTATCTTAAATTCTCAAATTAAAAAAGAAAATTTTTTTCGTAAAGGTTTTCTTAATCTACATAAAATTCCCTTTAATTTGATACCAAACATGCCATATTTCCAATAAAAACTCGCCTAAATCAACTCATAATCATCTAATAGTAAACATAACCTCAACAAAACTTTAATCTTTAATATCTCGGGTTCTATAAAAGATAATTTCATCGAGTTTGAAGTTATTTCGAATAAAATTTGATTCTCTACATGAATCGATTGAAATAAATGATATAACATTGAATTTTAAATTATCTTAAATTCTAAAATTTACTTCGTCAAGACTTTCTTAATCTACATAAAATTCCCTTTAATTTGATACCAAACACGCCATATTTCGAATAAAAACTCGCCTAAATCAACTCAAAATCATCTAATAGTAAACATAACCTCAACAAAACTTTAATCTTTAATATCTCTGGATCTACAAAAGATAACCTCATCGAGTTTCAAGTTATTTGGAATAAAATTTAATTCCCTATCAGGATTGATTTATAAAAATAACTTCAAAATTATTCAATTTTTTCACATTAACAAAAAAATTTTTTAAACAAAACATTCTTAATCTCCACAAAATTCCTGTCAATTTGATACCAAACACGCCATATTTCGAATAAAATTCGTTCAAATCAACCCAAAATCATCTAAATGAGTTAACATAACCTCAACGAAACTTTAATCTTTAATATCTCGCGATCTATAAAAGATAATCGGGTCGAGTTTGAAGTTATTTCGAATAAAATTTGATTCCCTATCAGAATCGATTTATACAAATAATGTAGCATTAAATTTGAAAAAATCGTAATTACAAAAAAAAGTTGTTCGTCAAGATTTTCTTAATCTACATTAAATTCTCTTTAATTTGATACCAAACACGCCATATTTCGAATAAAACTCGTTCAAATCAACCCAAAATCATCTAATTGAGTAAACATAACCTCAACGAAACTTTAATCTTTAATATCTCGGGATCCATAAAAGATAACCCCATCGAGTTTGAAGTTATTTCGAATAAAATTTGATTCCCTATCAGAATCGATTTATATAAATAACTTATTATTAATTTCAAAATTATTCTAAATCAAAAAAAGAATTTTTAATCAACACATTCTTAATCTCCACAAAATTCCTGTCAATTTGATACCAAACACGCCATATTTCGAATAAAATTCGTTCAAATCAACTCAAAATCATCTAAATGAATAAACATAACCTCAACAAAACTTTAATCTTTAATATCTCGCGATCTATAAAAGATAACCCCATCGAGTTTGAAGTTATTTCGAATAAAATTTGATTCCCTATCAGAATCGATTTATACAAATAATATAGTATTAAATTTGAAAAAATTTTAAGTTTCAAAATTACAAAAAAATGTTGTTCGTCAAGATTTTCTTAATCTACATTAAATTCCCTTTAATTTGATACCAAACACGCCATATTTCGAATAAAATTCGTTCAAATCAACCCAAAATCATCTAATTGAGTAAACATAACCTCAACGAAACTTTAATCTTTAATATCTCGGGATCTATAAAAGATAACCCCATCGAGTTTGAAGTTATTTCGAATAAAATTTGATTCCCTATCAGAATCGATTTATATAAATAACTTATTATTAATTTCAAAATTATTCTAAATCAAAAAAAGAATTTTTAATCAACACATTCTTAATCTTCACAAAATTCCTGTCAATTTGATACCAAACACGCCATATTTCGAATAAAATTCGTTCAAATCAACCCAAAATCATCTAATTGAGTAAACATAACCTCAACGAAACTTTAATCTTTAATATCTCGCGATCTATAAAAGATAACCGCATCGAGTTTGAAGTTATTTCGAAT